CTTACCAGCATCTCTGGGTTTCCGTCGTTGTCTTTAGAGCTGTACACCGAATCAGGTGGGTCTTCTCCATTTCCTCCTGTAGGTTACATAGGGGACACGTGGGTTGAGTGTATACTCCCAATCTGTAAAGGTGTTTTGCCAAGCAATCATTTCCGGTATGTAGTCTAAACTCAGCAACGCCTTCGATTCTAGGCCAGTCGGCTATATTGGGGAGTGCCACTGTCCACTGTTTCTCCTTTATTCGAGCTTTCATCTCCTGTGTTCGAGCTTTAATTTCGTTGCACCTTGAGGTATGTTTTCTCCTTTGTTCGAGCTTTAAATTCGTTGCACCTTGAGTTCTGGAATTCTCTTCTGATTAAGACCTTCATTGTGTTGAAAGACATCGGACTCTCCTGATTAAGGCCTTCATTGTGTGGAAAGACGTCGGTCTCTCCTGATTAAGGCCTTCATTGGGTGGAAAGACATCGGCCGGGCCATGCATTTCAAAATCGTTGTCCCCTTCTTACCAAGTGCGTCAGCAAGCTCATTGCCTTTAATGCCACAGTGACCAGCAATCCATCGTATCATTGCATTTAATGCCACAGTGACCAGGAATCCATTGTGGAACCACTAGAGTTTTCTACGTTCCCTTTATCTCAGCTGTTTTGGGTGTCTTTCCAATTGAGTTTATTGCTGACTGTGAGTCCAAAAGTCTGTATACCTTTATTCAGCTGTTTTGGGTGGCTCTCTGTTTCCACTCGTTTAACTCAGCTGTTTTGGGTGTCTCTCTGTTTACAATACCTTTATCTCAGCTGTTTTGGGTGTCTCTGTTTCCAATTGAGTTTATTGCTGACTGTGAGTCCGAAAGTATCACCGAATTGGTGAATTTCGTATTCAGGCAACATAATTGACTAGTCCACCCTAATGGCCTCTATTTCTCCTTCGAAAGCGGATCTATTGAATGGCCTCTATTTCTCCTTCAAAAGCGGATCTATTGTGTTCTGCTGCTGCCTTTCGTATTCAGGCAACATAATTGACTTAGTGCTATCCTAATGGCCTCTATTTCTCCTTCAAAAGCGGATCTATTGTGTCCGCCTAGGAGAAGATTATAGTCGATTATCATTATAAAGTGCCTATATTTGCGGCTCTTCGTGTTATCGAGCAACACCTTTCTCTATCGGATTTTTAATTAAAAAGCCCCCTCCCCCAGGTGTTAAATTTCACCTTGCAGACGGTTTACTGTTTCGAACGGCGATGCTTTATGAATAGATTGTAAGTCTCTTTTTTAGTGCTTTAAAAGTCTTATGGATCGCGTATAGTACATTTGATATTTTGAATAAGGAAAATTGTTTTTTTCCCATAATAAATTGTTTGGTCTCTATGCTTTTGTTTTAATCAATTGGGAAATCGATTGTGAGAGGTGGGTATATATATAAAATAGTAGTAAATACTGAAATTTATAATTTGAGATTTTCGAATTGACTCTATCCGTATAAATTGGCAAAAAACAAGCCTGGGTTACATCCTTTAGATATAAGTAATTTGTAAAAGTAGAAAATATCTCAATTTCTGAGAAAACGGCGATACTCTTGGTGATTCAAATTGAAATAAGAAATCATGTCAACTCTTTTCTTTTCAGGAGCAAAATCGCCGCTATTATTGACAACTGTACGCGATTTCCGTCATTATAGCTTTCACTTTGATTTAATTTGCTCCTTAAGGCCATATGATGACAAATCTGGTTTAAATTTCTGTCCTTCTTTAGCATATTCCCGAAGTCCGGTGAAGGCCAGAACAGCCTGCAGCCAGGCTTCCAATGGGACAGACAATTCCAACACCCTCTCCGGTGCCCCCGAACGGTGTTCCTCCCAATCCCCTGTCGACACCTCCTCGCCTCCTATTCCACCCGACAGAGATGACAGAGATAGTCTAGGAGCTGCGAACTCTAGTCACGAGGAGGGTTCCACAGAGCCTATCGAGCATGGCACTGTCTACGAGAAACCACCCTACTCCTACGCTCAACTAATTGTTCAAGCCATCGCCTCTGCTCCTAAAAAGCGTTTGACCCTCTCCGATATCTACAATTACATCTCCACTACATTCCCATATTACAAACCCAATCAAAAGGGTTGGCAGGTAAGGCTCTATCATATATCTGTTGATATGATTATTTATTTATTTATAACAAATGGCAGGCGTTTTGATAGTTATCATTAGCCCTTTAGTTGACTTCAGGCTTCATAGAGGGGAAGAAATATCAAAGAGAAAAAGTCGAGATGGGGGGGGGGCAGAAGAGTGTTTAAAAGATGTAAAAGAGACAGACAAGGTCGAGAGTAGGATAAGGTGAGTACTGTGAAGTGGTGGAATATGACATACAATGGGGTGATGGTAGTTTGAAGTGAGAAGTCAACTGCCGGTTAATAGACTTTTTAGCCGTATGAGTATACGTTGTCCAGGGTGCACCACGTGGAGGTAAGTCTATCGCACACCCCCTGTTGATATGATAATTGATATAATTGATAATCAATTGATTGTGACTGAATGGTTGATAAGATTGATTAAGTCTGGCCTAATACGTGGGGTGATAGAATTGGAGTTCGCCATTAGGGAGAGGAGATTGAGATTAACGATAATTACAGATAAGTGAAGATATAGCTGTTAATTTAGGTGGAAAAATCGGGCATTTTTGCTAGGCTATGTTTTGCCGCCAACCCCCTTCCCCCTCCCTTTTCCTTAAAATGAGGGAATTAGGCTACACTTGTTAGACCCTTTAGCTTGAAAACAAGAAGAGAAGTAACTCCACCACTTTTAATGCGTCTGGTGGTTAAAGCAAGGTCCTATCGCAGCTTCCATTATTTGTAAAAATGGCGGACGATGAATATTGAGCTATCGACTCATTTTCCGGTCCCACGCTATTAGGGATCATTTATTATCCTTCCATATACCCAGACTCGCAAACTCAGAGGAGCCCTAATTTATGTCTAGGCGTGTTCTTTGTGTCCACTTGGGTAATCTAGTTGAAGGAGACGGACATTGTCTGCCCCAGTTTTACTACCACCCATCCCCCTGTTACACGTACCCTCTACGTCAAGGTCAAAGTGGTACCGAAATGAACCGATTCAGCCGTTGGCGTTGCACTTGTGAGGGGTTCTTAGCTAGGCGGTCTTAAGCCAACTTGGTAGTCAAAAAGTGGGCCTTTTCATCATGAGCTGGAAATAAAACTGACTCATCTTATGAAGAGACAAATTTTCTCTCCTTTTAATTATCAGTAACCTGCCTAGTTATCAACACTTATTTTCAATGGAACTTAGAACTTCAATTCCACAAGATGTACCTTTATAAAGGTTATGGGTGGCTTGGCACAATATCACTTGATCGATTTCTCCTCTAATTTACGCTGAATTGGGTAATGGAAATTCGAATTGCCGCTTAAATTGTAAAAATTATTGATTTTTCGACAGATTCACGTAACTTGCTGCTTCGATAAGTAGCATTGAATTAATTTTCCAATAAAAATTTGCTTATACACTCCTATAACTAGCAGAATTACGATCGACGTAGTGTTTGACTGGGAATCTCTGATCAATGTTAATGTTGGTGTATTTTGTCATGCGCAGAATTCCATCCGGCATAATCTGTCCCTCAACCGCTACTTTGTTCGCATTCCTCGAGGTCAAGAGGAGCCTGGCAAAGGTGCTTTCTGGCGTCTGGATCCAGCATCGGAAGCCCATTTAGTCGTTAAAGCTTTCCAGAAACGTCGACAAAGATCGTATGCTGTTCCAGCCTATGTCACTGGTGGGAATTCCCCTCAGGCAAACTCTGGAAACAGCCTCCCTGAAAATTCCAGTGTTCCACTTCTAAGCAACCCAAACAACAATCCAACAGCAAACTTCATAGATGAAAGAGATCTCGGCTTCAATTCTAGATTTTTCAATCTCCAAAATCCGGTTTCCACTTCAGCAGTTACCTCAAATTCAAGTACCATCAATCCTCTTGAAGCTGACCTATTGGCAAAAAAGTGAGTTTAGTTAAGAAGAGTTGAGATACTCATTTTGGTGAATACGTATTATTGCAACCCACACAACACACCACCACATAATGATAACTTTTTTCCCTATTAGGAGGTGCTGGATATATCACCTCGTTTTGTTTTTGAAAAAAATCGTAAATCTTAGATTTGCACGCCCTGTTTACGAATTTATGTGCTAACCAGGGTCTATTGGTGATGTCATACTTTTTCAGCGAAACGTTTCTAATAGTTTTATATTTCTAAAATGTAAGGTAGTATCAAGTCTAGTCTTCTATGTCATCTTTTGACGCAGTGATCGTTTCGTTACAAATTCTTAGATAGATGGTACCCACTTCGTTTCTCAATGTCTTTTATCCTCTCTTGAAATTAAAATGAGCAAGCTTATTTGTGAGTAGGCAAGATAAGGGTGGAGTCGAGATATTGATGTTTTCTAGTATGTGATAGCTGTGGATACATTTTACAGCATTGACTTTTGCGTCTGCAATATGGGTATTTGAAGTGATGGCGGG